ATGCAAGCAATACAACTGCACTGCTTTTATTTTGAAGGATCTGCTAATTGAATTGAATTTATTGCTTTTCATGTAATGTTAATGTTTTTGTGAATATTCATTAAATAGTGTTGTTCTGTGCTCCACATTTTCATTGTATCGTTGTAATGTTTCATTTACTGTTTTTATAGAGATATATATTGAGCAGAGCTGTAAGTGTATTGGTCCGGCCCTTAACTGTCAAAGTTTCTCATGTGCCCCATAGGAAAATTAATTGCCCACCCCTGCTTTAGAGGATCATTGTAAGGAGGATAAAACACAGGGATGACTGAGAGAATATATGTGAAATCCTTTGAACACTCTAAGATGCTACCTAGTCACGGTTTGACAAGAAGCTAGTGCTTGCCAATTGAAAGAAGGGCTTTTCAGTCATAAGAACTACCTCTACAATTTAGTATTTTAATTCATAGATACTTTGGCATTCACTAGAGCTTCTCCTGATTCACAAGAAAAGGCACACTAAGCTGCAGGACACTTAAATTCTTCTATAAATGTATGCTCTTGAAAACAGTTAAACCTGCCATTTCCTGGTATGTGTGTTGATTAAAGTAAGGGATCTTCCACTGAGTTGTGCTCTAGCTAGAGTTTCAGAGAAGGGGGAGCTCTGGCTATTCACAGCTAGTTTCATTGTTAAAGATCATACTATCACTTTGACATTTAGAGGTAGGACTCAATGTCTTTGTAAATTCTTCTTCGTATTACTGCTATGTCTCTGGGTTCCAACCGTTTCACAAACCATAATATTTTTTAGTGAGTGATTGATCTGTATTATGTGTCCCAGCCATCAGAAGAATCTTGAGATGTTGCTTGTATAAACCGTAATACAATCTGACACTGAGCATTTAGTTACAGGCTTTCATAGACCTATTGGCGATACACAATCCTCCTGGATTTGGGCGTAAGGCTTATCTGATACCTTCCCAAAAAAGCTCCTCATTTTCTCTGTTCCCCACTTAAATAACTCAACACATCTGGGTTAACACTGTAGGATCATTGTCCTTTCAGTTTCCCTGCAGCTCATATTGCTACAATATTTCCTTAAGTATCTGATTACTGAAAAGGCAAGACAATTTTTCTCCCCCAAACTAGGCTGTTCTTAAATAGCCCTTGCAAAATAAGTCCTATGCATCATCTAAAATAAAAAATCATAACCTTTAATTGATAGCATTTGCAAAGATGTGCACAAAAATGTGTATGCTTGTGTAAGAGGCAGAGTGCAATCCTGTGCATGTTTCCTTAGATGTAAATCCTATTTTGCTCAGTGAGGCTTATTACCAGACATGTGTGCATAGGACTGAAGCCTAAACATAGCAGAGTTGTGGGCAGCTTGCAAATGAAGCAGTAGTGAGCACCAAGAATGTTAAGAGGTTTATACATGTTGCTTTGGGGGGCTTTATCTTTGGGTATAGTGTCTTTGGTTACAAGAATGATAAAAACCTGAAACTAAATCTTTTTTTAATTCAATAACAAATGGGCTAAATTTTAGGAAAGTGAGAGTGGGAATCGGATATAGCCCCATATGCATAGGAAATGAATCACTGAAGAGACTAAACCTGTGAGCAGGCAGAATAGCCTTAAGGTGTGCTTGCTTCATACGCCTGCATTGAATACTTTGCAATAAATCTTGGAATACTGTTCCATTTAAGGGAGTTAATACACAGAGCTCTGATTTCTTACAGTAGTTCCAGTGAGACTTTGGTTCATTTTTACAGTTTGGATGCAATTCAGCATTTTAACATGAACATCTGAGAACCCTAAAGATAATAGCTAGCTAAATATGATATGAACAATCCCATGTTGCTGGAAGGTTCAGTGTATGTGTTACTGTTGACCTTTGAGGCAGGCACCTAAGTACAATGATGGTGTGTTTTCAATGTATGAAAATGAATTCTAAAGATTAACTGATTATGGACGCCTGATTTTTTTGCATTAGCATAAAAACTGAACGTTAATAATTCCCAGAAAAGTATATCATAATGTGTGTATATATACCCAGCTGCTTATTAAACCTTAAATATAAAAACAATGCTTTTCTTTTGTTTAAATTAACTGGAAACATGGTATGCTTGAGGCTCCAGTATAAATATTGTTTATTAGTATCTCCTTGTGCTTTTTTTCAATTTAGATAACTCTAGCAATCATGCTACTTAAATTGCTCTCTTTCTTTCAGGTGGTAGAGATCATGTCAAGTGCCATTGGTGAACTAATACAAGGGATATATTATGAAAATTTGAACTTAGTAAAGGTAAGTCTATAGATCCCCAGTTGTACTCAGATGTGTGCTTAAGATCACAATGTTATGTATGTTTAGACAGGAGAAAGCCCTGTATCTCCCAGCTTTCCCCAGCCAGGACATAGGAAAGTAAGAGGTTAAAAACTAAAAGAGGTGATGTATGAAAGTGTGCTACCCAAACATAAGACAGTTCTCAGCATGTAATTTATTGACCAAGGAAGAAAGAAAACATGTTGCAATCTCCAAATCACCAGTCAATCTTATAAAAACAAAAATCTATGAAACAGTTAAAGTAGGAGCTAAGCAACACTGTTAATCCCCCTTCAGCAGTTGGGCTCCAACACACCTGACAGCACAAGAACTCCCTGCCCCTAGCAGCATACATGCACACACTCAAAACACTGGGGCCGGTCTTCTACAACTTCATGTGCCAGGTAGTCCTCAGTCAAGATGAAGGCTAAATGCCATGTGGTTTTCAGCCCCTTGCCCCAGTCATTTACTGAAAAGTCCTTGTATTTACTCTTATGGCTTTTTGGTCAATTCTACTCTTAGTGAAATGATAGAATAAACATTTTTAAACAGTTCCAAGGGTTCTAAGTAATCCCACAAAATGCTGTTTATATGTTGTTACTTGTGTATACAATGTTTAGCTAAGAATCTCTGATTTCCATTTCTTGTGAGAAAGGATAACAGGATTGAAAATAGAATTTTGCCTTTTTTCATAATAGGCAAAGTACCATACAGCATCCCATAGGGGTGTACTGAACCTGAGTTTTCAAAACTTTTTTTCTAGTTAGAGTGTTCCTTTGACCCTGCAAATCTGACTGCCACCTAGTCTCCTTCATCTTAGCTAACAGTCTGCAAATGTTTGCAAACACCCTACACCCTTACCTCAACAGGTATCCAGACTTAATGGCAACTCTCAGTTAAAGAGCTTTTGATGGCATTTTTTTTCCATTCAGAGAAAAATCTTTGTAAAATGTGTTGCTGTCCTCAGTACTTCTTAAGGATAATGTTACTAACCCCCTTCAAAAGCATCAATAAAGTCTTCAGACTTGATAATTAGATTAAATGCCAACTAATAATATGCGAGCTTCCTATGTGTGATCTGTGGGATATGTTTAATAATACTTCATGCCATGAATGTGTTAAAATTTTACATTAAAATCATTGCTGTTCAAAGGAAGAGGCGGTATATGCCACCGAAACCCGCAAAACGTGACATACAGTTGTAACCGTGCTGGAGTGCCAAACTATCACATGTTTATGGTTTAGTATATATGTGAGGAAGGAAGAAGGTTCTTCATGAGCAGCTCCAAACCTCAGCTAAATGGTAGCTTACAGGGTTCTTAACAGAATATAGCAACTGACACCTTCTCACCAGTGTGTCACTGGACAAGGGATTACTCAAGGAAAGTCTGATTCTGGCACATCAAAAACAAAGCAGAAATTCCTCCAGACCTTCTTTCCCGCAAATCCAGCAGCATTTTTGGTTTTCAAGACAATTTCACATTTGTACATTTTGTGCCAAAGAAAGGAAGGAGAACAATTATTCACCTTTAATTGTTGCACTAATGCATGGGTCCTCAAAGTACAGCACATGGGAAGGATCCGGACCATGCACGCACTGGCCACACAGGTGGGGAGGGCTTGCTCACTTGGAGATGGTTTTGGACACATTGGGAGATCTCCGAGCAAGTGAGCCGCCGCCGCCCCCTTCCCCCGCCTGTGCGCACTCGC